AGAGATACTGTCCACTCTGTTTAGATTAGAGACCCTGACCTTCATTAACTTGTTCCTCTCCCTGCAGCAAGGACTGACTGGGTCTGACTGTGACAAGGAGACTGGGCCGTGGAGCCAGGACAGACAAAGGGAGCAGAGAGGGCCATGGTTTGCGGGTTGACCCAGGTAGGAAGTGTACTTGCCCAGGGAGCTTTGGAAGCCCAGATGACCCTCAGTCTCGACAGGAGAGAAAGTGCTTGGTCAGGTCCTGGGCAGGACCCAGGAGGCCACTGGCCCTGCCACTCCTGGGCTGGGACGGGGCATTGACAGCAAGCAGCTCCACGCAGCAGTTGCTCCTCCAGGTTACTGACGACCTTCAGTGACTCGTCAACACTGAGACACCTGATTGCTAACCTGTGGCCTGCAGCTACCACAGCATGGGAAGAGGGCACTTGGACTGCTCAGGGACCTAAATCAAAGCCCTCCCCCGCCACACACACACTGTCCTGAGGGCTCCGGGGCTGGCTGACCTGTCATCGCCTGGGGAGGGCATCCTCGGGAATGGAGCCTGGCTAGGCCTGGCCGGGCCTGGCCCTGTTTGGGTGTTAAAGGGATGGGGTGGGTGCCCAACAGCTTTCATGGGCAAGCCGCGGTGGACAAGACCTCTGTTACTGTATGCCAAATAACACTGGTACCATTCCGTTTGCCATCTCCCTGGGAAATGGGCCCAGCATGTATGTTGGTACATAAGACCTGCTGTACAGAGGCTCAAAGGGTCCTAGGTGGTGCTGACTTTGAATCTGAATTTCTCCTACAGTGAGAAGGTGAGTCAGACCAGTCCTGCTGGCTGAAGCAACCCACTGAGGAAGGCTGCACCATTTTTTGGGATCTCTAAGCCTTGGGGGAACTTCTGGGAAGTTGATGAGGGTCAGGCTTTGCCCTCTGTGAGGCTAGGATAGGATCTGTTCCTCCTTCATAGCTTTTTCATCTGGTCCTCATGCCTCTAAGCCTTCTATCCAGCAGCAGGGCTGGGAGTCCTGGAGCAGAGGATACCTCTTCACATCGTCTTTGTGTCCACAGGCTCATGTCTAGCCGGAGCTGGGCCAAGCCCCAGGTTTCCGCAGGAAAGTCCGAGAGGATTGCTCCAATCCAATTACTGGAATGTGCTCACATCCGCCAGCAGACCCGAGATTGGGCTGGCCCATTTCTGCCTGGATGACTGCCAGGGAAGGGTTGGCATGGCAACGTGATCTCTGAGCTGCTGAAACTTAGAGTCAGCTCGTAGCTGGGAGGACAGAAAGCAGAACTGAAGGGGATGCCTTTCTGAGTGATGCGGGTCAGACAAATCTCGACTAATCCCTGAAAGCCACATCCAGAGACAGAACTGGGGCCTGGGGTCTGGCATGAACATGTGTGCCGTAGTAGTGACTCCCAGCAGTACAGCTGTGCCAGGTAAACGCCTAGTCACCCTTCTAGATCCAAAGCACCTGCTTCCCCTTCCTTGAAACCCTCTCCAGCCTCCCTACCCCTCCTATGCCCTCCCTGCCCTGCACAGCCCCCAGCTGTCCCTCTAATCAGGTACGTGTATGTTTGCACATCAGGTCACCCTCTCCCCACCAACCCAGGAGCTCTTTGTGGGTCTCAGGCACCAACACGGGCCTAAGTCCTAGCCTGTTTTACCCTTCTGGTTATGGCAGGCCCACTTTTGTCTACTCTGTTCCCATCCACAGGGAGGGCAGTGAGCCACACCAGGCCAATCAGCCCCACAGTCCCCTGACCCCATGCTGTCCCTAGAACTCTAACTGGACCCCTCAACAAAGAGGCCTGCCTACCTTTTATCTGAGATGGAAGCACTAAGAGCCTGAAGCTTCTGGGGCCTTCCTTGAGAGTGAATTCAATTCAGAGGAAAACACCTTAGGGCCAGAAGGAGAGGCCAAGTCATGATTATATCTTTGAGCTCCAATTTCCCTGTGCCTGAAGCCAATACAACCCCTAGACTTTCTTGTTAATGAGTCAGCAAATTACCCTTTTCTTTGCTCTAGTCACTTGCCACCAAAGGGATCCTGTCTATACCAGCTACATGATCTTTCTAAAACTCAATTCCTGTCCTATAAAAACCTCCTCTTGCACTCCCTGGCCTGCCCACTGGGCAAAAGGGTTTCTCCTCCTTGAGTCCTCGAAGGCCCTTCAAGACCTGGTGCCTATGGTTTGTGCCCAATGAGCATCCCTTAGGAGACAGCAGTGCAGATGTTACAAACACAAACTCTGGTGTCACACATGCCGGGTTCAGATCCCCCTGCTGCATATTGGATAAGCTGCATAACTGACTTTCTAGGCCATAGTTTCCTCATCTTTTAAGCATGCATAATAGCACTATCTCAGGGTAGTTGGAGATGATGCATGGGTAGCACTTAACATAGTGCCTGCCACATCTCTAGCAATATTTTTATTACTTTTACTGATATTTTCTTGCTGCAGAGGCCCTCAAGGTACAGCTAGAGCCTTCAAAGTTTTCTCCTCATGTGGCTGACTGGTTGACAAAGATGATACCCTGCTATCCCAGTTAGGGGTGAGAATGGTGCAGGGGATGTTGGGGCCTCCATCTCTCGTAGAACTGTCTGTTGTGGACTGTTTGTGCAAGCCCAAGTGACAGGCTTCTGCAGAAGCCAGGTGCAGGCAAAGGGGCCATAAAATTTTCAAAGAAACTTTCCACGGGAGCTATTAATGTATCATGTGGTTTCTGAGAATAGGAACAGGCTGCGAGCAGCTCTGTGGCACTCCTTCAATCAGCCAGCCTCGGCATTTCCATGTCAGAACTCAGAGAGCCCAGATTAAGCTGATTCTTGCGTGACTGGAAAGCAAATTTCAAGCCAGGTTGGAGGTATATGTTCCAGGGGTTCCTGAACCAACCTAATGTTTAAAATAGCAGCACCCCTCAGTTCATGACCTTGTGTTGCAGTCACATGAGGCAGTTGTCCCGGAGAGTGTGGGCTTCATCACAGGAGGGGGCTGAGTTTGAAATCTGACCACCCTATTCTCTACTGCCTGTCATTCCAGAATCATTTATTGCTGACTAAAAAGGGGGCCGTTAAGGAGAAGGCTGGGTGGTGGCTGGCACCTAAATCCACAGCTGAGCCATCTGGAGCAGCATCTCTCATCCCCATGGACCCTTGTATTATACTCAAGAACCTGCCTGCAGCCACATTCGTCTGCTTTGAGTCTGCAGGAAGCTGAAGCCCCCAGGGCTCCCATCAGCCCTCAGGGAGGCTGAGCCCCGGGTGGGAGGTGGGAGGAGGGAGGAGGCCGATTTCCCTCAGGATGAAAATCAGGCCTGAGGTAACTGTTCACAGTGTCTTCTGCATATGGGCACTGCAAGGGCAGCTCTAGGGCAGGATTGGAGCAGGCAGTCGTGACTGCGGGAAAGGAGGCCTCAATTTCCTTAAGTGAGGCCGAAATCAGGAGGCCACATGCCAACAGCTGAGCATCTAGATGGGTACAGGCCTCTTCAAATGCTCTGAGCCTGCCCAGGTGCTAAGATCTGTGCCTGAGGCTGGCCTCACAAATAGTCATAAGCAGGAGATCCTGGAATTCCCCAGCAGGTCATGTTGAGACTGGACATCACTTGTAAAATTCTTAATTTTTTAGCAGGAAATGAAACGAGACATCTCTTGCACAGTTCTTATCTTTTTAGTAAACCTAGTTACCTTTTTTTCCTTTCTTAGGGAAAAAGGCCCTCTTCCTCAAATCCTGATAATTGTCTCAAACTGGTGACTCAGATCCTCTGGCTATTGATAAGAGTCATCAGCCCATTGTTAGCAGAAATGGTGTTAAGTCAGACAGGGCCCTTGGAGTCTGAGAAGGGAGGGAACTTTAGGCCTACGGTCTTTTTTTACTCTTTAAGAAATATATCAACCAAGCCTGTTTCCCTTTTACTCAATAGACAAATCAATAATAGAAATTAATAGTTATATGATTTAAATAACAAGTTTGTATCTTCTTTTCCTTGTGTAGGGACTGAGGCTGCACTTCAGCGGGAAACTCAAGATGTCTCCCTTGAGGCGGAGGGGGGAAGAGGTCCAAAAATATGGAAGAAGAGACGTCTCATCCCTCAACATCCATACTAATAGTAAGGGGGTTCATGGCTCTTAGAAAAGAGGTAGGCAGGAAAGTTAGGGGGTTTCCGGTCTGCCTGCAAAGATACTGAGGTCATCCTATCCTAGAAGGGCTCTGCCCTAATCCACCCACAATTAAGCAAGCCAGTAGGCATTTTTTTTAACTCACAAAGAAAGAAACCAGTAGGCAGAGAATTAGGTTCCAATTTAAGCCAGTCACTTGCACCTGCGCAATGAAGACCCCAACGACCTTCAATTCACCTGAGCCTCATTATGCCATCCTTATAATATATATGATGCATATGCTTGGAAGTTCATTAACATCATTATAACAGACTGAATTCTGAGAACAAACATGCTCAGAACGCAAAATGGAGTATCGCTGAGTATTGTCAATCTTAGTTGTCAATCAAGGAAGCCCACCCCTCTAAGAAAAGTAACCACCCACAGCAAAAAGGGATAAAAACCCCGAAGGCTTTGTTACCAGGCCTTTTGAGCCACACTTCTCTTGCTCAGGCCCGCTTCCACGTCTGGAAGTCTGCTTTCCCTTCTAGTAAAACTTTTATTTTCTACTTATTTCGGTGTCTTGCTCAATTCTTTGTTAGAGATACCAAGAACCTGGACAACGCACCGGGAGAGGATCCCCACTCTACGATGACAAGTCACCTCCCTCAGGTGAGCTCTGTGATATCTGCCGCATGACTGAGCACCAGCCCCCGCAAGCTCCCAGCTGGCCAGTGCCACTTCCACTCTCAGGAGAGACCCTCCTCGGGCGGACATCAGGAGGAATCTTGCTTCTCTCAGGCTCTACTGTTGAGGCTTCTGTCCCGGCAAAATCCCTGCTTCCCTGACACGAGGGCTGATGTTAATGGTTCGTGAGCTGAACAAGGCTTGGAACATACTTTGCTTAAGAAGAAATGACAACATACTTTCTGTGGGAGTAGAACTTTAAATACAAGTCTACACAAATGGTAGGATTGATGTAGACCCAGTGTTCAGCTGCATTTCAAGTACAGCATTTTCTCCTGGAATGGATTGGCGGATTGAGTGGTATGTAGGCATTTCAAGGCACCAGAGAGCACAGATGAAGCCAACAAACCTTCCTAAAACAGAACAGACCTGCTAAAATACTTCTGAAGGGAACCATTTCACATTCAGCCTGAAGTCTTCTATCCAAAGAACATTTAACAAACTGAGTCCTAGAGGAGAATTTATGCAGATTAAAAAGCAAATCAGTGCAAATGAGTAAATAAAATCAGGCATCAGCATCTCACCAACCCTCCCAGCAGCCCTGGGCAGCTGGGCCTGAGGGCTGGATTTCTGGACCGAGGCTGGAACTTAGTCACCACAGAGGGCTGAGGCCCTTGTTCTGGGACCTTTCAGAGATCTTGGACCCTGGGCCACTGCTGTACACAGGTCTCTCTGCACAAGTACCACAGGAGCCCTTGGCTCTGAGAGAACCAACCAGAAGACACCCTCTCCCTGAGAGAGGATGTCCCAGCTCAGGCTGAACCGTGGGCTGCTTGCTTGGGGAAACCTGTGACCTGCCTGCGGGGCTGTCCAGGGTCCGCTCTAGAATGTGTAACTGGGAGGGGATTGGGGGCTGCTGGAGTCTGCTGCCCAGGGGGGTGAGACGTAAGACTGTGAATTAGTCATTGTTCACAGCAAAGACCAGTGGGGCAGAGATCACAGGGGAGGAGGGGTCTATGGCCCTCTATGTTCCCTCTAATCGCTGCCACCAAACCTGCCTTCCAAGGGTCTTCTTGGCTCTGGGTTCCAACTCATACCTGTCCCTCTGGTAGTGTAGCTCTGACTACAACTGCTCTTGGCTGTTGAATCCTACACCTCTGAAAAGGGTGGCAAGAACTCTTGGCTCTGGTCATGGAGGCTGTGTGTCCCCAAATTGCTGGTATAGACATGCTAGTGGGGACAGGGACACAGCTTCATTCAGGACTGACTAACTTAAAAAGATAAGCACACTTTGCTTTTGTAAAGATCCTGGTAGACTTTCCCCTTTTTGTTTGTCTCTGCCTCCAAGCCTCACAGGACTCTTTCCTTACTTTCTCTGGTCCGTAGAGCGGCTAGAGCCTGCTTTCCAGGCAGGAGGCAGGATTGCACTTCCTGGTCCCCTTGTGGGTGGGTGGATCACGTGACTAGTTCTGACCAGTAAGCTGTGAGTGACTGTGATATGTGTTACTGCTGGGCCAGAGTACTTAACAGCAGGTGTGAGACTTTCCAGAGGTCTTTGGTCCCCAGGGCGAGGAGACATGAGCAGGCAGGACCCCAGCTAACCCACATGTAATTGGAATGAGAAGAAAACCTTAGATTATAAGCCATGGCATAACCTGCCCAACAGAGGAAGGCTTCTGATTTGGCATTTAATCAGCCCATTTACCAAGAATAAGTCTTATTGATTGATAGCTCTTGGATTCCCAGGAATATAGACAGAACTACCCTCCAGACCTGACTCTCTTCAAGAAAGATTGTCATTGTAAATGGTAATAATGATGTTCCTCTACCCTGAGTCCAGACCAGGTGTGAGGCTCACTCCTTCCTACCCCCTCGATGTGTGGGCCGCAAAGTCAGTTTCTGCTTTGTGTCCACGGTCCTCCAGACCATGAAGCATCAGGGAAGCTGAGCCTTAATCTGTCAATTTTTAGTGGAAACTATTTCTGCTCAGAAAAGAGGCCATGGCTGGTAATATAGGTAGCAAAGTAAATCTGTAGGCATGGGGAGGGAAGTCCACTGGAACCTTCTGCCAGTGATCAGTATATGTGGTTGGTCCACTGAGGTGGATTGCAGCTTGAGATGGAGCCAACAGCCTATGCCTGATGCTTGGGGGTCAGAGCCGAGAGGCCAGGCGTGGTCAGACAGTGCCAAGCTGTGCTGGTGGACAGGGCTGGCGGTGGGCAGGGGCAGGGCAGCAGCCGTTAAGCTGGTAGGCTGGAGGTGCTCAGGATACATTCCCTATGAGTCAGATGCAGCACTGACTGCTCAGGTTATGTCGCAGCAAGGGCCCAAGAATCTCTGGGGGCAGAGCCTTTGCTTTCTAGGTGTATATATTTGAGTGTGGGAGTGTCCTCCTAGAGGGTCCGGAGACAGGAAAAGTGGTAGGTGGTGGGTGGGGCCTGTAGTGAGCAAGGCATAGAGGTCAGGTGGAGCGTTAGCACTAAGAGTAGGCTCCAGAGGTGGAGTCACTCAGGAAGTCCTGCCTGCCAGGACACAATGACTGCCAGATCCCAGACTGCAGGCCAGGAGGGGGGGAAAAACTCAGCTCTGCAAAATGGGCCTGAGAAGAGGATCCGATGCATTCACTTATAGTTTATCCCTAGTTGGGTTTGTTTAACTTAAATGCTTAGAATGTCTGGTTCGCATCCCACCTGCACCAAACAGCCCCAGCTAGCCTCCAGCAATCCTTCAGCCCAGAGGCTCAGAGGCTCAGAGGCGTGAGAGCCTAGCGTGTTAGCGGGGTCTGTGCTCTGTGCCCTAGGAGGGCTGCGTGACTCTCTGGCTGGCTGAGGGGCTGAGTAGCCACCCAGCTTGAGGCTACCTGCACCATCCCATTGCTAGACAGGTGTCTTACCAGGCTTTCTGGTACAGTCTTAGAAAGAAAATTTCCAGAACAGAGGTCAGCACCAGTGAGAAAAGAGTCTGTGCAGTTTCAACCAGATTTGCTTTAAGACACAGGCTCAGCTCAGCGGGAGGCTTATGCTGCTTGAACCTCATCTGTCCCTCAGCTCTCTGCCCCTTGGTCCTGGGCCATCATCATTGTTCTCTTCCTGCTCTGTCTCCTGGGCAGTCCCAGGGCCCTGGCCTTCCTCTACGCCCTGCCTCCTCTCACCAGTCCACAGTTCTGCCTCCCTAACCCCTGTATTCATTCCCACTGCCTGCCATGCCCAGTCCAGGCCTCACTCTCACCCACATAGACACTGCAGCGGCTACCACCTGACCTCCCTGCAGCTGGCCTTCCCACCTCCTGTCCCCATGGCAGCTAGTAGGAACTTCTTAAACTACACATCAGTCCACATTGTTCCCGTGTTCTATTTCAGTGGCCCCATTTGTCACCAGGAAGATATTATCTGGCAGGGAAGGGCAGGTTAAGCCCAGCGGTGTGATGGCTCTGCTCCCCCCTACTTCTGGAGTCCCAGGGGCTCCTGATCTGCATAGTTCCCCCATGCCTTTGCAGAGGCTGTTCTCTTGTAGCCCTCATCTGTGTGAAAGGATGAGACCTCAGCAGAGAGGCTTGGGGCTTGGAAGTCACAGTGATGGTCTCTTCACCAAACCCCAGCCAGTCTCCTAGTCTATGGCCCCAGGGATAACTAGAGACCTTTGGCTTGAACAGACCATTTCTTGACAGCTGGCAGTTTCTGTGCATTTGCTGTACGTTTGCAGTCTGCACACCAGAAAGCTGACCAGCCCCTCATGCCTTTAGCTCTACCCAATTAGAAACAGGGTAAGAAACGAGGCTTGAGCAATGTTGGCAAATTTCTTTCCTCAAAACAAAAGTGGCGAGAGCTTTATGTGTGTGGCCCTACAGGTGTCTCTGAAGACCAGGGACCCATATGGCAGACCCCAGCAACCTTGGAGCTCCGGGGTAGGGAGTAAGAAGTGAGGTGCTCACCCAGCCACTTCAACCTCCAGTCCTAGGGAATGCGAGTTCTGAGTTCTAACTCTGAGGCCTGTATCCCCTTGAAGTCACTCAGTATTTTCTCCCATTATCTGACCCTAGCTGTGTTTGGGCACACAGTTGGCAGATAATAGGAACCCCTGATGACTGACTGACAAGTGTCAGCCCTGCTCCCTGCAGACCTGGAGTCCAGCTAGGGTGGCTTTGGCAAGCCAGCTCATCTGGGGCCACCAGCAGCTTGCTCAGGACCTAAAACTCATTCCCTCTCTCCTTTCCATTCTTTCTCCCTGCGAGATGGGGCCACAGCTACAAGCTGACCGTGACAAAGACACAAGGGAGACTAGAAATGAGCATCAGACAAACAGAACTAACAGATCCACTTCTTGAAGATATTGGAGCAGATGTCACAAAACGCACAGCTCCCTGAATGTGCTCTTCACACCGACAGTGCACCTATACTGTACAACTGCCCCAAGTGGGTACTGTTGGTCCCATTTACAGATGAGAAAACTGAGCTTCAAGTAAATGACAGTCCTTGAGAGGGACAGCCAGGTCACCTAATTCCAATTTCCTTTTCCTCTCTACTTTTCTCACCAAGGCTGAATGCAAATGATGGGCAAACGTTTCAAAATATATACATGAGCTCTATCCAGCACCAAGTACTCCCTACCTCCAGGATAAGTTCCTAGGGAACAGCAGCAAAGTCGCACACTATCCCCCTTATCTTGCTTGTTCTTCCCCTCAATGCCCACAAAAAAAGACCCTCACTCCGTTTTTTCCAGTCCCTGAAGGTTACATTGTCACCTACCCCTACTGAGGTCATAGTAAAGACTCTAATAATCTTCCTCCCTGTGTACCGCTGGAGTAATTCACCTCCTCTTCTGTCTTCCATCCAGTGTCCATTGCCTTGGACCTCCAAATCTCCTTACCCTCAGCCTAGTGATCTCCCTGGCAACCCTGAAAACACTGAATTTGCCAATATTTGGGAGGGAGAGGGTTCTTATAATGGTCTTGCAATCCTGGTCCTGGACCGAGGTTTCCGACTGTCAGGGGCTCACCGTGTTGCTAGTTTCTGCTTTTATTCCTGAGAATGGCCCAAGAGTTTGAATTATTTCTCTGGGATGGATTCAAGAGTAGGATTACCAGGTAAAATTTACAGCTCGTGATATAGATATTGTCGAACTGCTTTCCACCTAAGTTGCTCGAGAATGCCTGTTTCATAGCATTCTTACCAGCTCTGGGTTTTTGCATTAAAATCTTGAAAAAAATAGTTTGTTGGGTAATGATACCTGGTTCCATTTTCCAGAATATTTAAATTGTATTCCTTCATTTTTGTGAAGTGCTGCCTCAATCCTTTTCCTAGAAGTTTGTATTTTCTCCCTTGATTTGGGTGTATCAGACATACCTCCTCTGCTGGCATTGTATTCCACAGGACTAGTTCAGATAAACAGTCGGCTGAAGATTGCTTACCCCAGAGCTGTGTTATCAAACTTTTTAACCAAGCAGCAGAACCTTTTCTTAAACAATCTCACACAGCACTTCTTTATATAAAACAATAACTAGCCTATGAAGAGTGGCCTGGAGCACCACTACCCCTTCCAGAAGCCCCTCTTTTACCTGAGGGGAGTTGCTGGGTCCTTCTTTTCCTTCCGTCTGAAGAGGGGGCGTCACTGTGGAGTCAAGGACCTGAAAGGAGATAATGAATGATTCATAGAGGTGGCTGGAACTCAACCCACAGCAGAACAGCTCAGTGCAGGTGAGTGAGGTACAGTGACCCAGGGGCCCCACCCGTGCTGCCTGAGGCACTGCCGCACCCTCCGTGTCGCCAGGGAGAGGGTGAGGGCCCTTTGTCCCCACAGACTAAGTGCAGCCAGAGGGGGTGGGGGTGAAGGTTTGTGTGACAGACTCGGACTGGTGGGGGGTAGAGAGTAGGGAGGAGGGTTGATGGATGGGAAGAATGAGACCTCCACCAGGACAGCTGGACCCAGGCCAGGCTGGGGATGTTTGGGGTGGGGGTGGGTGTGCAGGGAGAGGCAAATTCAGAACTCTAGCCAGGGGGCCTGGGTTTGATCTGATAGGGGAAGCTAGAACAAGAGGAGCTCTCCCCAGGAGCTTATTGTAATCTCTGCCTCCTGAGAGACCTGAGGGTGAGGGAAAGCTGAACCCAGGCCCAGGAAGGGGAGCGGTGGCTACTGCTCTGGGGTAGGATAGAAGAAGAAGCTGCCTGGAAAAGAAGAACTAGAAGGATTTGGCTGCAGATAATAGGTGATGGGAGGTAGACAGGGCGGTGGAGGAAAGGCTCATCCAGGACACTTTGCGAACCCAGTGGGGTCTTCCGAGGCGACTATTAAGAAGGTGCTCAAGTGAGTGGAGGTCTTTGGAAACGATGCCATCGGCTTCCCGCATCTCTTGCAGACCCAGTCAGATCCCCTGCCCAAGACATTCTTGCCCCAGTTGGGGTTCTTGGGCCGAGTCCTTTTCTCTCTGGCCCCGCCCCACTTCCAGCTTGCCCTTGATCTCTGGTGCTGGCCCCGCCCCCTCATTCCTGGCCCCAGGTACTCTCTGAGCTTGCTCTCTGGCCTCAGGCACAGTCCTGGCTCTTTTGTCTTGCTTTCCCATCAGGAGTCACACCCCCCCATACACACACTTTCCAGTGGAATCCTGGGATCCTGGCCCTGCCCCCTGGACTCAGGCCCAGGAAGTTCAGTCCCAGCCCCATGCAGAGATCCTTGGCCCTCCACCATCTTAAGCCAGTTCTGCTGCCCTGGCACAAAGACCTCTTACCAACCCCACATCCTGAGCAGGTTAACTGTTTCTCCCTGTGGGCCCCACTGGACCAGCCCCCATCTTATATATACACTTTAATTTTTTTTATTATTATTATTTTTTCCAATCAGCCAAACTAAATGTTTCTGAAGAATTTGAAATTTGAGTCCCAATCTCTCTGCCCCCAAGCCAAAGATGTTTGCAGAAGGGCTGGCAAGAGTGTCTCCCCACTTGACAAACAGTTGGTGCCCTCCTGATTAGGAATCCACATAGAAAAGCTCTAGGAGACGTGGGTTCTAGTCAGCTGAATGGTCTTGGGCAAGTCATTTAACCTGTGAGTCTCAGATGCTCCCTCCTCTGTAACACACGGTCTTGAATGGCTATGACCAAGACCAAGCGAGCGTGGGTACTTGATGTTGCCAGATCAGGGTGGGGAGGAAGCCAAAGCTCCAAGGTCCTTGCTCTATAAGAAGTGACCCGTGTTCTCCCAGGGCTTTAGTTCCATGTGAGTATCTTAGCTTATCTCCTCTGAGTTAAGCACCTGACAGGCATCTCTCTCTACCCATAGCCTGGGGAGTCCAACCTGCTGAGAGGTCAGAGGGTGGCCTGATGTTCTGGTCTTCACAGGAGGCTCTCTGTCCCTTGTACCTGAGATACCTGCCAGGATGACAACCTGCATGAATCTCTGTCCTTCACCCTTTTGCTGGGCTGACCTGACCCTAGACCACAGGCTGGCAAGCATCTAGAAGTGGATACGAAAGAGGCAGGCCTTTCCGCAGCCGTCCCGGGGCCTGTGCAATTCTCAGCCCCACTGCCCTCTCTCGGAGGGAGGGAGAGATCACCCCTCATCTCTCAATGAGAAGTTCCTCAGGGAGGGGTTTTGTCCTCAGGCGGTCTCTAAACTGTCTCCCAGCTGCACAGCCTCTCACCCCTACCAAACCCTTCCGAAAAATCCCCTGTGTGTTTTCAAAATAGAATTAAATGACAGGAACTAACTATTTAGGGAAGGGTTCCTGAGAGGAAATGGAATCTCTACAACCTTGAAACTACAGGACCTTTTTTTTTTTTTCTCATAAGAAAAGAAAAACATGTCAGATCATTGATGTTCCGAACCAGACCTCGTTTTGAGATATGGTCTCTGTCCTTTCACAAACTATAGCCTTTCTACCTCTTTGAAAATAAGATCACATCAAGTCAGGGATTAGAAATGGGAAAAATTCAATCAGAGCCACCCTCTGCCAGCTACACATCTCAATACACTCCCAGGCGAGCAGAATCAGCTCCCGCTACAACCCAGCTCAGCATCATCATTCAAAACGCACCGGTAGGAAATGGTGAGACAGAAGGACCTTTCATCCCGAGTGAGTGAGACCTGCAGCGCTGCTCTCCTAGCTCCGGAAGCTGGTGTGCCTGGGCTCAGTGGAGTCGGGGCCTCTTGCTTAAATAGACAGTGGGAGTGGGGCAGGGCGGGCCTGGGGGGCGGGCACAGAAAGTGGGCCATTTACCCAGCACAGCTAGGCAGTGTCCACGGAGCCAGCCATGGTCCTTAGCATGTGCCTGCCTGCTTGTCCAGCAGGAGCCTCAAGCCCACAGACCCCTAGACCACAGACCAGCACCTGGGGTGACCCCTGATGAACATGCAGCTCCAAGTGAGACCATGTCCCCAGACGCACAGATCTTGATCCAGGTTCCTGGATGTTTCTACCTCTCTTGAGACACAGCCTTGGCAGCAGAAACAGTTGTGATTTGGACAGATCTGCTCCCTAGACCGGTAAGTAGTGCCCTCGGGCTAGGCATCTCTCCAAGTCTCAGTTTTTACTTTCTTGAAATGAGGATAATGACACTGACTTTATGGATCCAGAAATAATGTTTGCAGGGGACTGGCACCTAGGAGGTTGATGTATTTATCGACATGGTGATGCTGGGACCAGGTACCTTCAAAAAGGTTCAAGCCCAGAGAGGTTTGGTAACATACACAAAGTCACACAGCCCTCCAGCTGAGTGTTAGGATCAGACTTCATGCAGACCTGAGACTAGGTTGGAGTAGCAGGAGCCCCTTGAGGTGAGAATGGGGAGCAGCTTTTGGCTATGGGGAAAGGTCTTGACTGAACTCTGGTGAAGTAGTTACCCCTAAACCCGCAACGTTAGGGCAAGAGAAGAGGCACGGCTGGACAGGCATACTCAGATGGCCTGTCTGTGCGTTTAGTTGAGACCTCGTGGGGGAGTGGGGTACAGAAGTATCCCAGAATAACTTCTACTCATGGCTGGTGAGAAGAGCTACCCCACCCCTCAATTCATATGTTGAAGCCTAACACCCTCCTGTCCCATGTGGCGGTATTTGGAGATGGGGCCTCTAAAGAAGTAATTAACATTAAATGGAGTCATAAGGGTGGGGCCCTGATCGATAGGATTAGTGTCTTTGTAAGAAAGACATCAGGGAGTTCCCATCTCCTCAGAGGAAAGACCAGTGAAGACTGCAAGCCAGTAAGAAAGAGCGCACTAGAAACCGAATCAGCCAGAACCTTGCTCATGGACTTCTAGCCTACAGAAGTGAGAAAGTAAATTTCTGTTGTTTTAGCCACCCAGTCTGTGATATATTATTATGGCAGCCTAGCAGACTATTACAAATGGGTGGGATCAAGGAGTGGATGAGGAGCATGGAAAGGACCAGGAATGAATTCAGAGGTTTCCAGCTCAGGCAACTGTATGGGCACTGAAGTCGCTCACTGGCCAAGAGTGAGGTGAGGGAAGGCATGGATGTGACCATGTGTCAGTGGGATATTCAGGCCTAGAACTCAGGGGAGAAGTCTGGTCTGGATCAGGATTTGGGAATTATTAGAGTGTAGGTGAAGTCTTGGTGATTACATTTCAGGTCACTTATTCTTTTTTAATTTCCAATGTCTTGTTGTTCAGCTTTTGTCTTTTATATTTTTATGAAAAGTCAGACATTCTCCTTTGCTTTTAAAAAGTATAATTGTGCATAAAATTTCCCCAATTTTTAAGTGACTTTCTCCTACTTATACAGAGCAAGTCTTGTTCAGGAGCATAGCTGATATGTGGCTATTATATACATGTGTGTTTATAATTGCACATTTTTTCCTGAGGTTCATCTTGTCTTCGTTACTTGTGATGTCAGTTCTCTTGTCATATTATCCAGTTTCAAAAGAACATATCTCCCATCACTTCAGCTTGCCAGATAATTTATCATTTAAAATTGTTGCTAGCAAACGCTTATTTCTTTCCTTTAGACTTAAACTTGAAAGGTACAGTGTGTTTCCTTTAGATCTAGGCTGAGCTGTTTTTTAATATCTGGAAACTTTTCTTGTATTTTTTTCCTAATGTTTCCCTCATTGTATGCCTCATCTCATTCGTCTTTATTTTAGGGCTGTGATACCATTCCCCATTTTCCAAATCAGTTATTGGCATCTTTGTTTGTTTTCTTTGCTTCCATTTGTGGTTTGATGTTTTTCTTTTTTTATCCTCAACATTACTGATTTCTTTGTTCTATTGTTTTAGTTATGCCAACAACTATTTCCAGATGTTTTTCAATTATTTTATAGTTTTCACCATGAAATTATAGCCGTTGTTTGTTCTGATCTGTTCCTGTCAGTAATATTTTGGTTATTTATTTCTTTCAAAGCAGTTATTACCCAGTTCATCTTATTTGTTCCTGAGGCTTTTCAGATTCCATCATTAAAAAAATTAATTGATGTTTATTGAGGGCCTACTGTGTGCAGACACTGCTGTTCAGTATTTAGCACTTGTAGCAGCCTGTTTCCCTTCTAAGTTTAGTATGGCACAATTCTTCAGTTAGAACCGCTTTGAGGGAGGTTCTGAGGAATTAAGATTTCATCCATGTTGTTCCAAAAAAATTTAAGATGACTTAAAATATGTTCTA